TGCTGAGGGTGCTGCAGCACCCCCTGGAGTGTAGCCCACGAAAAAATGGGGGTGCTGGGGGTGCAGTGTTAAAAATAAATGAATGAACAATATATAATAAAAAATAAATAATATTCATTTTATTAATTTGTATATTAATTAAAATTCATTGAAAGAAAGTAGCCTAAGCCTACAATGACCAGAAGCAACGGTTAAATATGAGTTAAGTTGAATCAAATTGACTGTGAAAGTCGTTTCAACTGATTAAACTTATTAAACTGACTTAAAAAATAATTTGTTGCCATAATTTTTGGATTAAATTATAACCTGTAACATGTCTCTGCCGTACCCAAATTAAGAATTAACAACAATTTCTACAGACAGCAGAGAAAGAGCAAGAGCGTCTACCTCAGCAGCAACAAATCTCGCATTCTCACATCTGTAGCGCTTATTTTGATCTTTAACGTTAGGTCTTTCCTATTCTTGAAACAAAATTAATTCTTAAGGTTGATTCAATATTACTCTTAATGATAAACACACACACAACATCAACAATGCTACAATGACAAAGTCGCTTATATTAAACATAAAACTTTTATGAACAGATAAAAACAAATAAGATCAGTGGCGTAGCGTCTGGGTATGCAGGTGCATATGGGCCCGGGCAGTTTGGGGGCAACGAGGGAACGAATAGGGACTGGCCCTTGTCCAACAGCTTTATGAGAATTCTCGGCCCGAGTCCGACTGGATACCGTGACTTTTCTCTCTCTCTCTCTTCCCCATTACACAGCTATTAAAATAGTTCAGTTTTGGTTTTTAATGGCAAAGTGGTCATATTTCTTGTTGTTTCTTTATTCACTTCTAGGCTATTAAACGAATAAATGAATTTTTTTATTAACAAAAGTTGCGCTTTGGATCCACCATCATAGTGTCAGTCTTTTCGCATCACGTGACCCCAACCTATCCCCCCCGTTGTATTTCTCAGCCCCCCCAGTTGAAAATACGTTCCCGCGGCTATGCTCGGTACCATATCTACTTGGTTTGCATCTGTTTCTCCAGTATGACGATTTCATCGGTCTTTACTGCACGGCTCTGTACACTTTTAGTTCACTGCTCAATGCAAGGATACCTTCAAAATGGCGCCTCGGTGACGTCACACATAATAAACGCACGTGACTGACAAAGACGGATAGCGGACATGATTGTTTTCACTCCGAAGTGCCCTTCGGAGGGCGATATATCCCGTTTGGAACGCACCGTTAGAGTCTCTACTAATGAGCTGATGACCTGAATTAGGTGTGTTTGATTAAGGAGATATGCAAAACATGCAGTGTTGAGGTGCCTCCAGGACCAGGGTTGGGAACCACTGCTCTATCAGGTATATTTGATAAATTATATTAAACATTAAAAGTAGCTATAGCTCATACTGAATGCCTACATTACCCACTTAAATGTGTATTGCTCAAAGTCAGAGGTCTTGACCTTCTTGACTGTATCCAGCAATTAAAATCATACAATAATAATTTTGATGTAGTCTATTGATTTAGACTCAATTCATGTAAAACAGCTTCTAATCGAATAAAAACTTTATATTTTGCTATTATTTTTCCCACGTGGTGATTTTCCCCTTAAAAAATATAAATGTAACCTAAAATTGTGAAACCCAGGAACCTTTCTAGAACGTAGCAGGAAGACAACTAATGACAAAAAGAAATCACTGTGTAGACAAGTCCCAATTTTTATAAACGGGTATGCTAAAAGGTCTTGATCACTAGAGCGCCCAATCCTGTTCCTGGAGATCTGCCTACCTGCAGAGTTCAGTTCCAAACACACATGCCTGTAATGATCAAGTGCTCCTGAAGATGTTGATTAGTTCGTTCAGTTGTGTTTAATCAAGGTTGCAGGAACAGGATTGGGCACCCCTGGTCTTGATTGATACCCGATTTCATCGGTCTTTACTGCACGGCTCTGTACACTTTTAGTTCACTGCTCAATGCAAGGATACCTTCAAAATGGCGCATTG